GACATTAAGACGCTTCCTCTTTTTTGTTTGCTTTGGGAAATTGTATTAATTCACCTCATAGTCGCTGTGAGAAGTTCAACTTATATATCGTGCTTGTAATCGTTCACCAATTGACTTGGGATCTCACACCTCTTGTCATTTTTAATCCAAGTTATAATGAAATGGTTCAGGTTTCCTTGGAATCAGGAAAAGACATTTGTAAGGTTGTTCTTCCTTTTATAGATTGTGCAGTTCTAAGTGAATTATTATATAAGATTCATTTTTAAAATTCCATGAAAGTTAACATCAACAGCAATAATTTGTGTTGATGGTATGTACCCTGAATAGGACGTGGTGAAGATGACGCTTTGCCTCTGTGGTCCTTCCTCCCCAAATCCCATAACCTCAGTATAATCATGGGAAAAGCATCAGACAGACTCCAATCCAGGGATATTCTGCAAAATATCAAATACGTCTTAAAACTGTCAAGATCACCAAAAACAAGAAAAGTCTGGGAAAAAAGAGGAGCCTAGGGAAACACGATGACAGTGTAATGTGATACCCTGGGTGGAATCCTGGAACACAAAGGAACTTTAGGTAAAAACTGAGGAAATCTGAATAAAATATGGACTTTAGTTAATATTGTATCAGTATTGATTCACTAATTATGACGAATGTACCATGCTAACGTAAGATGTTAACAATAGGGGAAAACTGGTTGCAGATACATGGGAATTCTCTGTAACATCTTTGCAACTTTTCTGTAAATTAAGAACTATCCTAGTGGCCAGCCCAGTGGCATAGTAGTTAAGTTTGTGCACTCCACTTCTGTGGCCTGGGGTTTGCGGGTTCAGATCCTGGGCGCGGACCTACACACTGCTCATCAAGCCATGCTGTGGTGGCATCCCACATAGAAGAACTAGAAGGACTTACAACTAGGATATACAGCTATGTACTGGGGCTTTGGGGAGGGGGCAAAAAAAAGAGGAAGATTGGCAACAGATGTTAGCTCACGGCCAATCTTCCTCACCAAAAAGTATACCTTTCAAAAAAAAGCTATTCTAAAATTTCTAAAATAAAGGTTTATTTTTGTAAAAAGACTCAATGCATAGGGGCTGGCCCCGTGGCCAAGTGGTTAAGTTCGTGCGTTCTGCTGCACGCAGCCCAGTGTTTCGTTGGTTCGAATCCTAGGCACGGACATGGCACTGCTCGTCAAACCACGCTGAGGCAGCGTCCCACGTGCCACAACTAGAAGAACCCACAATGAAGAATATACAACTATGTACCGGGGGGCTTTGGGGAGAAAAAGGAAAAAAAATAAAATCTTTAAAAAAAAAAAAAACTCGATGCAGAATCATAACTTTTTTCTATAATATGTCTTTCCTTTCTCCCAACTCCATAATGAACATTGTCCTAGTTCTCTTTTCTCCATTTTTCTTTTCCTTTCCTTGCTTTAAAAAGCATAGTGCTCAAGCCACTCCTTCAAGTGATCACATAAATGGCCTGTAACAGGAGGCTGAGAACAGCTGAATCTACATAGCAGATTGATTGGATTAATGCTCCAATTCTACATGTGTTCCTATATCGTGCCCTTTGTCATGTGCTTCTTAGTTTATTTCTCCACCCCTTGAATCTGGGCTGGCCTAGTGACATGCTAACTCTAGGTTTGGCTTACCAGCACTAGCACTTGCCTAATGAGAAGTTAACAAACAGGATGCAATCAGAGTCTTGAAAAAGATCTTGAGCATTTCAACTTCTGCCATTGCCATGTGAGCTGACCTGAGCTAGCCTGCTGGAGGATGTAAGTCATGTGGAGCAGAGCAGAGCAGAGGCACCCAGCCTAGATCAACCAATAGTCGGCCCACTCTCAGACATGTGAGTGAGCTCATCCCAGATCAGCAGAGTTACCCAACTGACTCATAGCTGACTGCAAATGCATGAGCACGCCCAGCGAAGATCAAGTCTACCCCAGATCATCTGAATCCCACTGACTTCTGAGCTAGATAAATATTTCGTGGTTGGTTGCTATACACTTTTGCGGCTGTAGATGACTGATACACCCAACTAACACACAAGCGTTGGTCCATCTCAACTGGGGAGAGATTCCTTGGTAGAGAAGAGAGATGAGAGGGAAAATTCTAGGAGCTTCTTCCTCCAGAAGAAAAGAGCACTAGGACCCCATGACCTGGGCTTTAGTTACCAACTCCAGCTTCATCTTTGACCATTTCCAGCATTTATCTTTACACTCGGTAATACCAAACTCCCTAAATTTCCCTACCAGTATGAGGAATCACTCTTACATAGTGATTAAGCTTGTCAGGCTCTGGTGTCAGACTGTCTGGGTTCAACTCACCACCATCTAGTTGGTTGTGTAAGCCTGGGTGAGTCACCTGATCAGCTCCTTCATGTGTGAAATGATGACAATAATAGCGTATATCTCATAGGGTTGTGAGGTTCAAATGAGTGTGTAGGTGTAAATTGCCTAGAACAGTGCCTGGTCCATACAGCATGTACTCAGTTAATGTGAGCTAGTAGTAATAGTAACAGCAGTAGTATTCTCAGACTAAGTCACCTTCCCAGAATGTTCTGTCCACTCTTCTTTACCTGGATAATTTCTAAGACTCTGGTTATCTCCTCCAAGAAGCCTTTCTTGGTCCTAGCACAACCCATCTTTGTACCCCTCCTTTGAACTCATAGAACCCAGTGCTTTTCCCTTCCCCTAGAGCTCGGGACATGATTTTGAAATGATATCTTTATGTTAATTGCCTTCCCTTCTAGGGTGTAAGTTTTTGAGGACAGACTCTATACCTTGTTGTTCTCTAAGTAACCCGAATATCAGATTCAGAGCTACAGGCACTATGCCTAAGATCTAAGATGAGATTGTCTAGAACCTCCATCATTCAACCTGGGGAAAGCTTGGGGACTTCTCCAAGCTTTCGGACAATTCCCAGGGAACTGATATTTTCATGAACGCTCTGAGTCCCAGCTTCTCTCAACTGAAACAGTTCACTTTATGCCCCGTCCTGCTTTCTAATGTGAACTTTCTCTCTTCCTTAAAAGTTGACGCAGATCTGGAATTTGACTCACTTCCTTATTTGCAGTACGTGAGCTCACAGAACCTTGATATGTACAGAAGACTTTACAAGAGGTTTATGGAGATTGTGAGTGAAGATGGGGTTATATTACAACAGCCCAAGCGGGTTACAATTCTATGGTGGACGACCCTGGTCTTCAAAAACTTCCTCAGCTGCTGCTTCCCTACCGACACCAGCCCTTACGCCTCTCTTCTCTTCTCACCCTTCTGTACCCAAACTCCTGCTGACTTCTTATACAGAGTCCTTTAACTCCTTCTTTTCCCTTCTTTCTAACCAGGGCCCTTGGGGAGGGCTCACTCACAACCCCAAGTCACACTTATTAAATGAAGTAACCTCCCTAGGATCAATTCTGGGGCAAGTTTCTAATTCTCCTTTTATGCTACTGCCCAGCACAGCACCCAGCTCATGGTAGGGACTCATAAATATCAATTTAAGTCAAATTTTCAGGAGATGTCTAGACAGACTTGGCTTCAGAAGAGACTCAGAGAAGAAACAGAAGACAATAAAGCCCAAACCATAGACTGAGAGTTTGCTCATGATTCTTATAAACCTTAGTCTTATTAAACTTTTCATCATCAGAAAGGAAGAAATCGAATTCACACCAAGCTGTAGGCAATGTAGGGCAGTAGTTAAAAGCAATCTTTGAAGTGCAGAGGACCTGGGACCAAATTCTGGCTCTGTAACTAACCAGCACTATCACCAAGTTATTTAGCTTCTCTGAGCCCCAGCCTCCTTTGCCGCAAAATGCAAAGAGCAGTACACAGGGCATGGCCTTGTTGGAAAGAGTAAATGAGATGTATGCAAAATGTCTCACATAGTCCCAGCCCATAGTAAGCTCTATATCAATAGTATCTCTCATCTAACGAGGAGATTGGGGTCTTCATACGTAGGAATCCCAGGAAAGAAAGAAACCCTAAGAGATATAGAATAGAGAGCCCTTAGATGTCCATTAGGCATCATCCGTTAACTTCTCTCCTCCACATCCAGACTGGTGCAGTTATGCACCTCCTAGGGAGAAATGAGAAAATGGTCCTCAAATCATTTCCTAGTTCAGTGGCTCCAACGAGGCTCCCAGTTGAGAAAGGCTGGAAGAGAGGGAGGCAGTTCTAAGGAGCTGGATTTCCAAATACAAGGTGTGAGACGGAGGGTTTCTTGTATGGTTGAGGTCTAGGAGGAGAAGAATGATCTGGAACTTTAAAAAGTTGAAGACCCCTGTGATCTCCTCACCTAACTCTCTCCTATCATTTCTCTTCTCTCAGAAAGCCAAGCAGGGTCCCAACAGGAATGGATTCAGATTCTTGGAGGACCCACCATGTAGACTTTTTAACCTCAATTCCAGTTATGTTTATACCTCACAGACCATTGCTGTCCGGATTTTAAAAGGCACACATTATACAACTTTTAACTTATGCCAATAGACAAACCACACTTCCTAGAGAGCTCAATGAATGCCATATATGCCCAAATACAAGGCAACCCCATAGGGATTGCCCCATTTTCCCCAACAAAATACCAGTAGGAGAGAGAGCAGTAGAGATATCAGTATCTCTACCAGTAGTAGAGATACCCAGTAGGGAGAGACTCCATTTTCCCTGACAAAATACCAATAAAACAAGATTTGTGGGGCTGGTCCCTTGGCCTAGTGGTTACACTGGGCATGCTCCACTTCGGCAGCCTGGGTTCTGTTCCTAGGCACGGACCTATACCACTCATCAGAAGCCATGCTGGGGCAGCTCACATACAAAATAGAGGAAGATTGGCACAGATGATAGCTCAGAGTGAATCTTCCTCAGCAAAAAAAAAAAAAAAAAATTAGTCAAGCTGAATATAAAACCTTTTAGGGATCCACAAGAAATAGTCATATTTCTATTCATGATATTTAATATAGCAATTAAGTTATATAAACACATCTAAAAGAATCTGGTAAAATTTTATTAATGTGGAAATACTGCTTTTTCCCATGCTCATGTATATTGTAATAAGACTTTATTCCAAGTCTTCATTTACATCTTCAACATCAGTGTCTTCAGCATCACTAGAGCCATTTGAGTTGTCCAGCTTAGTTTCCCAGAGTGTATCACCTATACTTCTGCTTAAGGGCTATTAGTTAATCCACAAAACATACTCACAGCCCAAACATAATCCCAAGCAACAAGTACCCATTTTCAGAACATTGGAAGAGTTTGTTTTCCTTTGTCTTCTGGTGCGTCTTGTGATATTCAAAGCACAGCCACTTAATTCTGCTGTTTCATGAAGCCATCTGTTACACTTCTACTCATCCTTCACATTTGGGAAGGCAGAACCCAAGAAAAATTATTGAATCTGCATTTGATCCCTTTGCCTCATTTTAAATGACTACATCAGCTTACTTCTGTAAACATCTCAAACTTGCAACACTTGAGATCAGCTCAGGCTAATTGTCTTCCTCCAACACTATGTTGATGATGGAACAAAATACGTTGTGAAATCATCCTGTAATCTGAGACGCTCCACAAGGACTTGAGTATGAAGAAACTCTCTTTTCTCAGGGGTAATCAGGGAGAGAGGGGCGTGAAGATCTTGCCTCATATTTGGAGATACAGCATAACACTGTTTATAAAGTCTGTTTCACCCTATGAATAGCACAAATGTGATATACTCTTGGTGTTACGAGTTCTGAGCTGTTAAACCCTTATATTTAAAATAGCACATATAAATTCTATATTTTTTTAGCTTTTGCTTAAACTTTAAGGCCCTCAACATGTAAATAAAGTCTGCCTACATCAGCCCCTCTCTGCTCGTACAAAGATCTCCATCCTTCTTATCTTGCCTTTTTTGCTTTCTCATTCACCCCTCAGAAATTCATTCATTCACTCAAGGAACACTTTGCAAGTCCCTTCAATCATCAAGTGTTTCATTAGCTCATGAACATCAAAAGACAGGCTGACCTCATATTGCCACCAGTCAAGGGCATTGAATGCCAATTCATTTCATAATATTTGTCATTTTCCTTAAACTTGTTCTAATTTAAGTAGAGTTGAGTAGTTACTCTTGCTCTATAAAAAGTGCTTAAGTCGGGCTCCTTTATCAGTTTTCCCAACTTCTTAGATAGCTCTCAGCATGACCCAAATTGGAAAGGCTGGAATGAACCCCAGATTGGAAGGGAAATCAGGATCCTGGCCTGGCCAGAGCAGCAAGTTCATGCTGAAAAATAGTGCGAGAGAAACTGACCTGGTATTTGGACATTATCTTTTATGCAATGGGGAGCCACTGAATAGTTTTTCATTGATAACAGATGTTTAAAAAAAATCAACAGGCCATTTAGCATGGTAGTTGAAAACATAGTCTTTTGAATTAGAGAAAATCTACACTCAAATCTGTTTGCCATTTAATAACTACGAGATCTTGGACATCTCATTCCCCATAAGCTTCTGTTATTTAAGTAAACATAATAATAAACACTTGAAAGATTTGTTGAGTGGGTTTTAACAGACACTGAATATAAAATGCTTAGCATGGAACCTGGCATATAATAGGTGATTAATAAATGGTGTTTGTCAAGTCATATTACAAAGCCACGTTTGGGGAAAATTAATCTACTTGAGGTGGGTATACATGATGCATTAGAGGCAGGGAGATGATTATAATCTACAGGAAGGTTTAGATATGGCTTGGAATCCTACAGATTTGTGATGAAGAGTACAGATGGGACAAGGGAAAGAAGAGACTGAAGATGACCCAGATAGTCAGCCCAGCTGACTAGGGAACATTAGTGCCTTTCAGAAGGAATGTCAGGACAGAGAGAAGAAAAGCATAAACTTGCTTTTAGACACAATGAGTTCAATGAATAAACTTTCAATGAGACACAATGGTGGCAGTATAGCCAAGGCAATTTTCACTAGAAAGTTGAAAACATGAAACTCTTAGGAGGTAAGTCACTGTCAGAAAAAGACACTTTGGAAAAGCTTCTATTTAGACAAGAGTTAAGATGGTAGAAACAGAATTCTCCACCAGATGGGATAACTGAACCACGTGGACTTGACCAGACAGACTCTCGTACACACTGGTTTTATTCTAGTTTGATTTTCCTCCCTGCTCAACTCGAAACTCCAAAAGAACAGAGACTGTGGACAGGAATGCTTATCACTGTATCCCCAAAGCCAAGCTCAGTGCCAAAAATCTACTTAGAGTACGCTTTCCTCGAATGTTGGTCCTCTAATCCATCAGGCACAAGATAATCAGAGAGATCACAGCGAGTTCAGCTTTAATGCTAAGCATTTTATATTCCTTGTCTTTTAAAATCCACTCAACAACTCTTTGAGGTGTATATTATTATGTTATCATTGTGTTCACCTAAACAACAGAAGCTTATGCAAAATGAGATGTCCAAGTTCTCGTGGTTATTAAGTAAATGAACCTGCTGTCGTCTCTCTGATTATCTCATGCAGTTTAGAAGCTTTATTCCTCCCTTCCCAGGTTTTTGATTCATGTAAACTAGGAAAATGAATTACTAGTAGAAAAACTCTTTCAGAACATGGAGTTTTCCTGGGCAGCAGAATTGCTGAATGGTCAAACTGTCCCTGATGGGGAAGAGCTGAGAGCTGCTTGTGGGCAGGGATTTCAAAGGAGAGGGGGTGGAAGTAGTCAAAAGCAAAGAAAAGATCAAGAACTCTGGAGAACAGAAATACTACCAGTTCCTGTGTGTGGTTCCCACTTGGGGAAATGGCTCCGTTTGCCTGGATTACTAAAACGGGACCCTCTTGGGGAGTTCTGTGGAAGAGGATCTAGCTATGTCCCTGGTGGAAGAGAGAGGAAGGCAGCCTGAGGAGGAAAACCAGGTTGACTCAGACTACACCTGCTTTGGGAGCCTCTCCCTGCCAGGTTGGGACTCTCCATGCTCATACCTCTCCAGCGATGTGGGTGCTTTCCTCTGTTTCTCCTCTCTACTCCCAGCCTGCCATTTCCCAGTGCCAACATACCTCTCTCATCATCCCCTTGGAATGAATGCCATCTTCTAGGCATACTTTCCAAGTGGAGTCAATATTCACCACTCTTTACAAATGTCAAGAGGAGGAGAGAAGGCTGCCATGGCAGGCCCAAATCTTCAGATAAATGAAAACCAATCACATCTGACGGAGGCTGTGGTCAGAGACATTCAATGATCAAGTTTCCCAAGGGACTTTCCTCTTGGCTTCAAGGCTTTTCAAGATGTTTCTTCCACCATCATGATTGGGAGAGTAACTCCAGCTAGCCTAAGGAAATCAACATGACATAGATCAAAATGATTGCACCCCTTCTTGCACCTGCCAAAAGAGTTCTATGGTCTATTTCCCAGCCAAAATATAAGCTTCAGTAAATATCCCCATTAGGCAACCTGGGTGTGGCTGCACAAAGTATTCTAGAATGGCCTGACCTTGCCCTTAAAGAAGCAAAAAAATTCCCCAAACTATTGGCTTTGCTTCCCTTCCCCAAAAAGAAGGATGAAATAATAACGCATCAGACACCTCCGCTCTAACATCAAATCTGCCCCGTGGGGTGTGGAACAGACCCAGCTTCACGATTGGCTGGTCTACAGCGGAGGTGACTGCCAAAAATAGGGATTTAAATCACAAACCCACGCGGGAAACCACAATTTGAGGAAACTGTGTACACACCTCTCTCCCAATCCCTCTGCCAGGAAAGGGGAAACCATCTGTGAACAGAGTCCAGGGCCGCTTTTCCCTCTCTGTGGCAGTGGTGCATGTGACAATTGGTGACCAATCTTGTTTTGAAAGAGGGGAGAGAAAGGGAGTTTAACCCCAGAAGTGGAGGTTACCAGGCCTAGGCAAGGCCTGGGGATCTCAGGAGAGCACGTGTTTGTCACCCAGTTTTCTGAACATAATAACCAAGAGAATGCTCTGGGGACGTATCAGGGAGGTGCTAGATCTTTGAGTGTCTCGCCAGGTCCAACGTCGACTCCTTGCTGGTTCATAAGCTCCTTGAAGGCAGGGCTCTCAAGGATGGTCCACTGCTGGATCCCAGGCACCTAAGACAGTGCCTGGCACATAAGATGCCCTTGAAAAAATTGTTCTGATAAGTGAATAGATGCTTCAAATTTGGTTTCTATTTGGAATTAGTGATTAATTTTAACAAAAGACACCTGGCAGATTATTGATCGACAGCAACCAAAGAGCTTCTGGAGGTGAGAACAGATGTTCAAGGTGGTCCAGAGTTCCAGTGACTTCCATTTCCACCACTTTTTCAGAAAGAGCAATGATTTGGGATCAGACAGATCTGGCCTCAAAGCCTGGTCCTACTACTATCTCTCTGGGCAAATTCGAGCAAGTCATTCCACTTCCTGAACTTCAGGTTTCCATCTGTGAAAGGAGGACAGTCATCCTTACTTCGTATGGCTTTGGTGAGGATTCAGTGGAGCAGGGCATGTCAGACATCTAACGCAGTACCTGGCCCAAAGCAGGCGTTAAATGTTTTATACCACTGCTGGTGTTATCATCAGCCCCCAGCTAGAGGAAGCGAGGGCAAATAGTGAGGGACCTCCTCATGTCTATTATCTCCATTTCTCTCTAGACACCATAATCTCTTCTGCCCAAGTTCATGCTGGCAGGAAGGAAGACCAAGCTGGGCATTGAGGATTCTAGAGATCCAATTACTACCAGCTTCTATCTATCTTAGCCAGTGCTGGGCTAGTAAATTTCATAACTGGCTCTCTGAGGGAGAAAAGGGGCCTTGATTTGCAGCTCTTGCCAATTTCCATGGTGTAAACATTCTCCCTCATGGCCAATTTCAATCTGTCAATATGATGTCACAGAGTCAGGAAGAGAAGAGCAATAATACATCCCTATAAAATATCTTCACCCTTCACATACATTAAATGTAAATAACCTCGAGATTATAGAAATTGCAGTAATAGTAAAATGTAGCAAAATAATTAAGAAGTGGTGTCTTGAGTATTTCTTACCTTTGTTTTCATGATAATTGATTTGCTTATAAGTTTACATAATTTTCAATAATGGCTGTGTTTCACAACCAGCTTGCAAAATTCTTGAAAATTTAACGAATGAGCCAGTGTGGGCACACTGCTGATTCTAGCCTTCTCTGCCCACAGTATTGGTGTCATAAGAATGGAGTTTGGGTGGATGCAGTGGGCCTGGACATGAAAAGACTCTAGTGGTTAGAATAAGACTTCCCCAGAAGTCAAGGCAACTTTCAGGGAGACAAATTCTCTTTTGACCTTCTCTTAAAATCCCTCCAGGAGAAAGTAGCCATCCCTTGGGATCCTCAAATGAGGAGATCACTTGGTTCCCTATGTCCAGGAAAGATCCAGTGCAAGTCAGCACACTGGAATACCAGAGACTTAATCTGTAAAGTTGGAGTGATGGAGCAATGTTTGGAGAAAAGAGCGTGGGCCATCAGCTGCCTCTGTCACCACGTGGCTCTGTGGCTTTGGGCAAGTGATGTCATCTCCCTTAGCCTCATTTTCATCATCTTCAGAATGGGGACAGCACCTACCTCTAAGTGTGGTTGCAGGGTTGATGACAACATGTGTTCCAACTGGCTTTGTGAACTGCGAGGCATCGTAAAAACGTAAGGCATTGCTTCTATGTGAGGAATGAGACAGACACCTGGAGTGAGAAAGAACTGGGTGGAGAAGGAAGGAGGAAGAAGGTTGTCAGTTTAGATGGAGGGCGGTGGAAGAAACTTAGAAGAGGTTTGGAGTGGGAGGAGGATAAGGGAAGTGGGGGTGAGGGAGGGTAGCAAGCAGCCCATTGGATTTGTAGTCATTGCCTCAATGTTTTTCCAATCCTCTAGTCACACTCACTTGAGCAGGTTCTGCCTAATTTATTAACAGTTCCTGTTTTCATCCTAGGATAAGGGTTTTACATCATCCTTATCACCACAAATGGATTCTGGCTTTCTTAGCCTCTACCGTATGCCCTTGCTGCCCCATCTGGACACCACATCATGGATGGAACCATCTCAACTGCACCATAGGCATTAGAATTATCTGACTTCCAGAGCTCTATTTTCACCAAAATCCTTCCTGAGCTCAACCATGTTTCTGTCTCTAACTGGCATGGAGTGTGAAATACTGCTAGGCCTCAGAAGAGAAAAAATGAAATCAATTTCAATCAAGGCCACAGCTTGCTTTTGTAAAGCCTTCATTAATCAGGCATTTTCCTGAGAGGATTCTTAAGACAGTCTCTTTCAAAGGCACTTCTTTCTCTGGCCAAGGTGGGGTAGAAATGGGACTGATGGGAAGTGAACATCTTCTCATTACAGGAGGGACCAAGAGGAGACTGGGCAATCTCTTAGTGAGCGTGTTGTAGAGGCGTCGAGAGCATCCAACACGTTGGCTTCTCAGGGTTCTTTCAACCTTGAGACTCTCTTACAATCCTTCAAATAAACCCAGTCTCAGATCCCGTTCTTCAATTTCACAGCAGAGTTTCTTCACCCTTTAGCAGGGCTGTTATGGTAACTTGGAACACTCCTTCCCTCGCAAATATACCCGGCAGTAAGATTATAGATAGTCTACAAAATGGAATTCCTTACGAGGTCACTCGTTTCCCATGGTATCTCCAAATCTCAACCACAGTTACGCTCCATTTTAGTCTTTGAGGCCATCAGAGAAATTGGGTTCAGAACTAGTTAACTTCATTTAACTTTATAGATGGGGAATCTGAGGCTCTGATGATCTCATCTCTTCATCTTTTTTTTTATCTTCCCCCGTATCCTGTCTCCCTGGCCTTTGCTTTAATCATCTCTCAACTGGAAAGGTGCCACAGGCTTCCACTGGTGGCCCTGCCACCGTCCTCCTGCACCTCCAGCTCATCCTTCGCACAGAGCTGGGAAGATTGTTCTGAAATGCAAATGTGGCCATGTTGGTCCTCTGCCTACAATTTTTCCTTGACTTATTACTGTCCAAAGGTACAAAAGTCCCAATGAGCCTCTTCTACTGGATCTTTTGATCTGTGCCCTCCCTTCTTCCCTGCTTTCTTTTCCATATAGCCAGTGCTAGAGCTATGCCAAATCACAGTTCATTGCTCAAAGACACCATGCTGCCTCATACCTCCGTTCTTTGTGAAAGTTATTCTCTCCTTCAGGAACAGTGGGACCTGACCCACCATAGCTCCTATTCTACCTAGTAAAGGTGGCTTCTCTTAACGCCCATCTCAAACACCACCTCCTCTTTAATACCTTCCCAGAGCCACTCAAGCCAATTCAAGCCCCGCTTCCTTTTGCATTCCCACAGAATCTTGTACACCCCTCTATCTCAGCAGTCATCATTCTCAGTGGCATCTTCATTTTACCTGCCTGCTTCTCCCACACCTCTGAGGGCTGAGACTGAGTTATACTCATCTCCATCCCCCAGAAGGCCAAAAACAATGCCTGGTTCTTCTAGAAATGACTTGTCCAAGGTCACACAACTAAAAGAGGTCAAGCACGAACTAGCTCCTGATAAACTCACTTTTTCGCTTGCTTTCTCTCAACAGTTTTTGTCTTCCCTCATTTTCCTTCATACTCTTTTGTGGACACAAATCTGACCTGAACAACCCTAATTTTCACTTTAGGTTTTACTGATAGGCTTTTCCAAGTGCTGCTCTCTCTGTGTCTCCACCTACCTCAATCGTTCCTGAACACTGCTCAGAGCATCATTTATCAGGTGGGCATACGACACCAGCCCCAGTAAAAAGTTCTGGAAAACACCTCAGTCTTTGCCACTTGCACATATTTGATCTGGGTACAATCCACCAGTCTAACCACCTGGCAATGTCTTTGGAATCCACCCTGGTGCACAGCTGGTCCACTATGGTCCCAGAACAAGCCTATCTGGATATTTTCCCATACAGAGACTTCAAAGAAAGAAAAATGATGAAAGCACAATATTTTTCCCAAAATACTTTATATCCATTACTGAGTTCAATCTTCTTCACATCCACTCATCTCACCCACTTCATTTTACAGACCAACCAGCAATCCAAAGAGGGTAGGGTGCTTGCCCAAGGTTGCACAGTTGGTTATAAGTAAGACTACAGATATCTTCAGGGTCTTCCAGCACCAGTCCTTAAGGTTCTTTCCCCTTCTCTAAGAACAGTGGCTTCATTCTTTCTTTCTTTGTTTTTCTTTCTTTCCTTCTTTTTCTTTCTTTCTTTCTTTCTTTCTTTCTTTGTTTTTCTTTTTCTTTATTTCTTTCTTTTCCTTCTTTCCTTCTTTCTTTCTTTCTGCTCCTACTGTGCACAGGGCACTATTTTAGGTACTGGGGACACAGTGACAGCAAAACAAAGTCCATGCCCTCTTAAAGCTTACATTCTAGTCCTTGTCTGATTTTTTTATGGACCCATCTGAATCACAGGAAACATTTGTTTGTCAAAGAGGCTGCAAACAAAAGGAAACACAATGAGTTTAGAATGAGAAAACCAAAAGAGATTTGACTCCATTGTTTTGGGGCTGCACAATGTACCTTGATGCTCTGTAAGGCAAGACTCTGGTTGCCAAGGAGAATGCCTCCAAGGAAGACATAACTAGCTGGTTTAAAACAAGTTTTTGGGGGAAAAAGGTAGAATCGGGTTGTAGAACTCCACGTATTAAAAGTCAAGGCACACAATGTAAGAATAACCAAGACTCTTTTTCTTCCCAAATCACACAGCTTGACTTAGGAATGCACTGGGTCTCAGCCCCAAAGAACCCAAACACGAATGGATTACTACACAGGTGCTTATTTTGCTTGAATGTTTTAGTCCCTTTCATCCTCTGGTTGGCTCAGCTCCTGCCAATCACAGGCTGGATTAAGTTCTGACTGGCCACGCCAAGTCAGTGTTTGTCAACCAAGAGCTATGGTTGTACCAGGTTATAGATAATCTTACATATCAGGTAATCTAAAACACCTGCTGCTGAGTCCCGTGTGAAACTGGGCAGTCTTTCCCCTTTCCTGAGCCTCAGTTTCTCTTTCCAAGACTAGATGGGCATTGATCTATGTGAGCTCCATGGACTCTGATTAGTTAAATGTTCCTGTACCCCATATTCATTTATCCAGTAGACATTTGTTGAACCCTGGCTATCACCTGTCACTGTGCCAAGAGATGGGGACACAGCTGTGCCTGAGACAGACCTGACCCCAACCTTCACAAGCTGATTCTTGTGTATTTCTCTTTGGAACACAACAGAGGCCTCTGTCTCCCATAGGTTGCTCATTCTGCTTCTCAGTGCAACAGCTATTAGTAGTCACCTTTGTACAAGGCATGGCCCTGGTGTACCAGGAATTCACAGTTGAGTCTGTTATGAGGCCTTTCTTCAAGGAGCTCAGAGGAGTAGAACATATGTGCATACCCAGTTCATCACATAAAGTGTCAAGTGGCTGGAAGAGATACAGTGAAAATGCCATGGGAGATCAGATCAGAGAAAAGCAACTTATGGTTCCACTATGATGTAGCAAGCACCTGCTTCGATTGAACACAGCAGTGCTAAGTGCTTTTATAGATATGGCCTCCTTGGATCTTCACAGCAACCACATTGCTGTCCCCAGTTTACCCATAAGGAAACTGAGGCCCAGAGAGGTTCAGTAAAACTTGCCCAAGACCAGAGAGCAATAAGTGCTAGGATTCACACCCAGCTCTGTCTGCCTCCATAGCCCCTACTTTATGCCATATGAAGTTTCCTGTTTCACCAGGCATTTATTAGGGTCCACAGTTTTTGGCTCCATGTTGAGCTCTTACAGATAAAGAATGAAGAAAAAACTGACTTCCAGTCTCATCACTTGGGTCTGAAAAAATGTGACTGACCCCACCCAACTTTTTCACACTTGCAGGCATGGCAGTGTAGAGAAGAAATTTGAATCAGGTGAAGACAGGCATGTGCCGAGTAGAGGAAGAGGGATGTGATGGGGGCAGGGGGAGCAGGAAGCTGTGATGCACAGAAGTGTTACTGAAAGTTCCGTCTCTGATCCTGATGCGAATCAAAATAACAAGAACAGAGTCTTGGGTGAAAAAGGAAAGGCTTTACTTTGCCAGGCAGAGAGAGCAAAGCAAGGGTCAGTGCCCCAAAATTTGTTTGCTCCCCGTTAATAAACAGGTAGGGGCTTTTATTTGGGCTTTTAGGTAGGGGAGGGGGTGCCATGGCTTTCTTGGTCAGCATTTTCCCATGGGCTTGTGTCTGCGGCTGCTTCCAGTGGAGGAGACAAAGGATTTCTCAGAGGAGTGTCCTTGGTTCTTTATCTCCATGGTGGAAGGTAGACTCTGACGACAGGAAGCCGAGGAGCTAGGTTAGGGAAGCTTCAGTTCCTTGCTATTCTCTGGACATTAGTTTCTCTGTGAAAGGACTTCAAGATCCTGTGACTAGCCACAACTTTAGTGGGAGCCCAGCGTGACGTCCTCTGGACTTGAACAATTTGTAACTTCTATTTAGCTCTATAGCTCAGGGACTCAGAGGTTAAAGAAACAAACATTTACATATAAGTGTAACCAAAAGACCCAGGGACCTGGGAATGTGTGCATTTAGTTTGAACCCATATGTGCTGGGTTCACTGTAGGGGAACCAATATCAGGGCTGATATTAACCAAGGGCCGGTAACAGAAGAGGGGCTCCAGGGGGAAAGAGTGTATGGTGAAATGAGGCTGGCTGGGTGCTTTGGGTGCCCCATGAACAACTTTAATTAGATCTCACTGCAATTTGGCTAAAGATTAGTCTGAAGTCCCCGAGGCCATACTGGGCAGGATGGAAGAGTGATGGATATGAGTCTGAATCAGAAGTTCACCCAGGATAAGCAGGAATTGACTCCAGCACGCTCAAGTCTTAATAGAATTTAAATGATCCTCAAGACATCAACTGCCTGAACAGGAAGAGATCTACTTACTAAGATGAAAATTCATTTTATTTTAGTCACAAAAGGTGAAAACCCTGCCAAGAGGATGACTTGGGGCATCTGAGATTTTCTGAAGCGACTTGTGGCTTTAGGTAGTTAGAGGGGGAGAATGGTCGAGGGGGCAAGAGCCGTGCTTTGGAGTCAGCCAAGCATGAATGGAATGAAATCCATTGACTCTGCCATGTCCTCACTGTTGCAACTCCGCAGTTTCCTTCATCTCTCTGTGCCTCAATTTCTTCAGTGGGAATAGGGAGGAAAGACTACTGACCTTTCTCACATCATTTCGGAAAAATTAAGCGAAATTACCTATGTAAACTCACTTAGCAGTTTGCTCACACCAAGTTAGCACTTAATAAAAACATATTGGCCAATGGTTTCTGCCAAATTTGATCAAAAATAGCAACCCATATATCCAGGGAATTCAGTGAACCCCAAGTAATATAATTACTGGGCACATCATATATAAATTGCCAAAAACAAAAGATTTTAAAAAGAGTCTTGCAAGCACCTGGAGGGGAAAAAAGACACATTACATGCAAAGATAGAGATTGTCAATGATAAGACAGCAAGAGCAGCATTTCTGGGTCCTTTGGCACTCCCAGTGTGGCAATGCAGGACGCAGGGGCCCCCAGAGCTCACAGACACCAGTGGGCAAAATCTAGGCTTCCTTATAGAAGACATGGACTGGGCACTGCAGGCCTCATGGCTCTGTAGGGTCCTTCCTCAGCCCCAGGACAATGCTGTCCAAGACACAGAGCCCACACCCCACACTTCTTTCCTGGAGGAAAATAGGAGGAGGTCCTCCATACCCAAGTTCAGACACCAAGGTAGAGATCTTCTCCCTTTTGGGAATTACCAATATGGGAGCTCTTTCGAGAATTAACACCAAGACCCAGTTCCTATTTCTTAGACCCTGCCTAGCAGCTCCAAAGACTACGCGTGGTTGTATGTGAACTTAAGAAGTGTTCTTTACCTTGCTGAGCCTCGGTTGTACCCATGAGCTACCTGGGGATATTAATCCCTGCCTGAATAACCTCATTTGAGTGTTGGGCAAAATATACCCCAAAGCATTGCAAAAGGAAATATCTTCAAATGGAAGGGAGAGAGTATTTCAAATAAGTAGAGTGTGAAAGAAAAGCATCAACCAATAGAGTACAAAACTCTAAGAGTGAGTAAGAAGAGAAAGTCAGGGAAGGAAGCATGTCTAATTCATTTTGGTATCTTCAATGTCCAGAACCAGGGAAGGCTTCATACATGACAGTCAAGTGAAAGACTACAAGAGTACAAGAGTAGGTGACCTACAGAATGGGCTAGTCTCATATCAGAGGGAAAGAAGATTCAAAAAGCAATTCAATCCAAACATTTTTAAATACTTACTTGTATGCAAGGCACTGTGTTAACTACTGGGAAGTCGCAAAGATAATAGACAAAATAACCAGTCGAGAAGCAAAAATTCTCATAGGTTATTGGGAGTATATACTGATTTTATTTAAAACCCTTTTGGAGGACTCTTTGGCTGTAATTATCAAAATTTTAGATTTGCACATCCTTTAGCCCAGCAATTCCACTCTGGAAATCTATCCTAGTGAATAAAGACTGAAACAAACAAACAAAAAGTTAACACAATAAATTGTAACTGATGTTAAACTAACATGAGTAACTTGTGATAAAGAGAAAACTAACCATCTATTAGACACTTTGTGGGTGCTAGGTGCTATACAGGCATTATTTTATTTAATCCTCACAGAAATTCTTCTAAGGAAGTACTATCATCCCAATTTAGCATACAAAGAAACTGAAGCTCAGGGAAATTATATTATGCCTAAAGCTTTTTTTTCAATCTCAGTTTGGTCATTTATAATCAGGAGCCCGATTTCCTTGGGTCCCCGGCTCCACCACTTCTAACTTTGTTACTTAATGTAAATTTGTGTCTTAAACTCTCTGAGGCCCAGTCTTCTCATCCATAAACTGCAAACCTTCTTCCCATAGTTGCTGTAGGAACTAAGAAGATAATAGTTGTTCTAGGACCAGCCCTAGTGACCATCCAAAAACAGTGTCATCCTTGTGATAAATTCACACAGCTATGAAGAGATGGAGCTGGAATTTGAACCTATGTCCAAAGCCCAGGTTCTTTCCTCTAAATCACGTGATGGGAAACAACCCCAGTGTGCAACTCGATACACAACGGCAGACTTCACGACCTCCAAGGATGGGGAATTTCCCAAAAGGATCTAGCTGCTCCAAAAATCTTTCTAAACCTAGCTCAGTGCCTCAAACTTCTACTATTAGTTTCATTTCATTGGGTTCAAGCTCAGTTGAAAGCCAAATGTTTGTCTTGGGAGCTAAAGTAAACACATTGTTTCTTGCTAAAATGTTATGGTCCTAGTTTTACATTAGATGGTTCTTACCAGGCAGAAATCAGGATACAGGAAGTGTCAAATGAAAGACATGTAAGTTTCAATGAAATAAAAAAGAAATGTCAGGAAAAGTCTATAGGAAAGACTTCCACCAAGGGTTG